CGTGTGTGTGTGTGTGTGTGTGTGTTGTGTGTGCGTGGTACCAGGCACTGAACCTAGTACTTCATGCATGCCAAGCAAGCACTCTACCACTGAGCTGCACCACCAGCCCTTATTACAGGGAAATCAGAAGGGCGACCGTTAGAAATGAAATATAGGAGCAGCATAGAGAGTGTGAGCTTTAATAAGAACCAATACCGTACCTAACCTTGTCTGAAAATCAACCACACTATGACAGGATGTTAAGTAAAAAATAATCAGCTAAGAGAAATAATAGTATTTGTCTTAGGGAATGAGAAAATTATACATTTGAAGCTACGAGACTACTGTTTAACAAAGCTTACAGAGCTACGCTTTGACTCCTTCAAGCTTAAACAAAAACCTGAGAGGAAAAGGAACATTGTAAGATGTCACCATATAATCAGAATCTTCGTCAACCCATCTCTTGCTGACTTCTTTGTTTCTCCCTATCATATTCTGTGAGAGTCAGCATTTATTCTTGGCCTAAAAGAATGCTACTAAAAATTATAGGAATGATTAAAAAGAAAAGAGAAACTCAACCCTTCTCTCTCATCCTTTAAAGAAAAACAAAGCTAAAAATGAAAGTTATGGTATATAACAACCTAAATAAAAAAGATAAAAATAATAATGATTTCTCCTTGTGAATCACAATGTATAAACTATAGCAAATAGCAGATTAGTATAAAACTTTGAATTTAAATATTTTTAAATGTATTAAAAAACAGGTATAACTTTTAAACTCAAGATGCACATAATTAAAACACTAATGCTGTCAAGTTAAGGTGACCCTAATACATAATAATTACTCCAAAGATCGTATAACAGAATTATGTGAAATATGTTCATTTATCAATTTCTAAATAAATCTGATTTATTTTTAAGTGACATCATAATTATCCATATTTACATCTGGAATATAACAACTTTTCTGTCTTGTAACAATTTGAGACAAACAAAATGTTATGATTACACATTAGCTATGGCTACTCAGTTTCTAGAGCTCAAATGTCATGTGAATTACTCCGTAAGATTTAATGGTTACCTTGTTTAATCTGTCCTTGCACAATATTACTGGAAGTTGGAGGGGAACCCCTTGCTTTAGAAAGGTCTGGGGTACTTGGTCTAGGTGGCCTTTAAAAAGAAGAAAAAAATACATGTATTTATTCTTTCACGTTTTAAAAATTCTAAAATATAAAATATTAAATTTTCTACAGTCAAATGAATTTCAAAGAAATGCATGCTGAACATTTTCAGTTTCTTCCTCCAAAATACATTATTCATTTTGTACCTACTATATTTCACTTCAAATTTTTATATACTAAGTAATTACATAATTACCAAGTAGCAAGTAAAAATTTTAGAGCTACAATTTCTACTTTCTCTGAGTTTTTAAAATATTTTTACATAAGCATCCTAATGAACTATTACTAATAGGCGAATATAATTCTTAGTCCTCCGTTTTTCCATATTAGCATCCTGAGTGTTCAGCTAATCCCATTATCACTGGTTCAAATGAACTCATGAGGGCTGGGGATTTAGCTCAGTGGTGCTGTCACCTGCCTCACAAGTACAAGGACCTGAGTCTGATCCCCATACCAAAACAACAACGACAACAAAAAACCTATATTCAAATGAACTCATGGAGCAATACACTGGTTTTTAAAGTATTCAGCACTAAAATATAAAAAAGCCAGTAAGGCATTAAAGAAATTTTGGACCCAAGAGATGGCCATCTTGGTTTGAGTTCTGGTTTTCTCACTTACTAGCTATGTGGCTTTTGGCAAGGTACTTCAGCTCTCTACATTTCAGTTCTTATCTGTAACAAAGGGGTAAGAAAAGTATCTACCTTATAAGGGTAAGGGCACTAATGAGGTAATTTTTTGTGAATTACTTACAACAAAGTCGGATATAAAGTGCTACATAAGTATTTCTTAGATTAAAAAATAAACACATAGCTAACTCTCAACAGAGTATAACAAAAAGTTGTTTGTTTGTAAAGCTTTGGGGAAATAAAAAGTAGCATTCAGTAGTATTTTAGAAGCATTAAAATAGTACTCCACAATTTAAAATGTTTACTCTTTCCCTGTTGAGAAATTCTGACTATACTTGCAAAATTGTGAAGCCAATCACTGGACATAAATCATTTATTGTATATGGGCTACAATTAGAAGTACTTTAACCAAATACACATTTTGAATTGAATTTAAGTGGAAATTTCTAGGAGACATAATTTTAAGATTGCAATTGCCTGAGACCTAGACTAGATGACCAACTCTCATGTTCTAAATTCTTTTATTAATAGATACTGAGTATGTCTACATATACATAAAATTATATAACTTTATTTTAAACCAGGCATTTTTGGAAATCTATATTATAAATGCTGAGATGACACTAAAATGATAAAAGTATGGAAAGTTCTACCCTTGCCCCATAAAAATAAACGACAAAAATAGAATAGGTTTCTTCCTCCTTTTTTGAAATTTAAGAATAAAATCAAACTATCATAGTCACACCTGGTAGGGCCCTTCTTCATATGATCACCAATAAAAGTGGCATTAGTCATACTCATTAAGGTATTTGCCAGTGATATAATAGACAGGAGATGCTGGGTGGTAACCGCTCGAGACACTCCATAAGTTCCCTTTCCTACTCCCTCAGCTGCCAGCATCTTCTTTCCTACTTCTGTTTTCCCATGTGGTAGTTTACAGGCAGCCTGATTATAACCAGGAAGCATCAGTGACATGTGACCACCCCTCGATAAGAGGCCAAACGACACTGTGCAATGTGGTTTCAGCATTCCGAGGCGATCGAGACAAACTTCATCCAGAACTTCATTCAGACCCCAGGCATGAAGACAGGACATGAATAATTTTGCAGTGTCCATAGTTAAATTGTATTCTAACAGAGTCAGTGGTTTAGATTTGCTGGCCCGATATTCAGGATCACTTTCTTCTCTTCTCTGCCTCATTAACTCCTCATCCTCCTCTTCATCATCGAGGAGGTGTTCTTTTATGTTCTCTTTGATAGTTTCTTTCACTTGTTGGAAGAGAACTGCTGCTCGTTTTCCAGTTAGAAAAGAGCCCCCTTTGTCTGAACCGCCAGATGCTTTTTGTAAATTCTCTGGGGAAATAAGCGCAGTATTCGGCCTAGAGGCTTCTTCAGTCAGGAGTTGAATAATCAACGCTTCCACATCAAAGAAAAGCACATGTATGTCCGGGTCTGTTAGGTTCGTCTTTATTGCTTGAACCATCAGGGAGTTATGAGAATATTTAGGTAAATTCCCCTGCAACAAATATTTTTAAAAGATTGTTGTAATTAAAAGTGTTTAACATTCACCAATGCAGAATTAAAATGTACATTAAGCATCTTTTTAGAGATTTGTATTGCTAAAAGTAACACACTTTGCCAATTAAAAGCACATGATACATTTATACAGTTGTAAGAATTTTATGCTGAAACAATCATAAAACTGTCAATTAAAAGCTAAGCATACCAACCCCCCACAACTAAGGTAATCATTATGTACTACAAACATGCACTAATAAAAAAAACAGGAATAAGTTTGCTTTGTTTGTTTGAGACAGGGTCTCACTTTATAGTGTAGCGATCCTCATACCTCAGCCTCCTAAGTGCTGGGATACACGAATGAGCTACTGTATTGGCTGGAAATAAGTTTATTTCTGAAGCAAGGATACTTTAGGATACTATTAGGGACACGAATAGGATAGACTTAAATTTGTTTCAATACCTTAAAAGCATATTCCATCTCTGAGAATGAACCAGATAGGAAAATCTGTTTATTAGAATTGCCGATGCTTTGAAGATATTGCACTGTCAAATCCTGCCTTTTTCCATTTTACCTTCACATCTTCCTTTCTTTTATTAGAGAATATATTCGAGTCCCTTTTTTTCAGTCCCTAAAAAAGGTGTCATCCTTACCATGCCCCTTCCTCTATTTCCTCCTCTCCTGTCCCTTTTAGCCAAAGTACTAATGCAATGGCATTTCTTCAGTACCTTTCCTCCATAATCTTTGCAGTTAAACAAATGAAAGGGAAAAAAAGTCACCTTACAGTATCCTGAATACCCACCCTCCTTCTAAGTCTGAGCCCTTGCTCTCAGTCAGTCACTGGCCCCACAACTGATGCTTGCTCCCACATTGGAACATAGAACCATTCCTACCCAGAATTAGCTCAGTGAGTCCAGCCAGACCAGCCTCCTGAAGGGATTATTTGTATTTGGATATCCTGTAGTACCTCATATTTAACATGTGTTCACCTCCAGCCTCCCACTGAACCTGCTGCACCTCCTGAATTACTACTACTCATTCTTTTTATCCCACTTTCCCCACAAAAAATAAGACCCTTATCTTTCTTTGTCTCTTAAACCAGGTTAAACCAGCCCTCATATTTCATTATTCCAGCTGTAACTTGCTCTGAAAACTAAATTCTGAAATTCTGAAAACTAAACCAAAATACAGATGAAGATCCGATCTTGAGCTGAGAAAGTACTTTATAAGCATGCTTAAATTTAAACCTTGACTATTAAAAAAAATGTAAAGGTAAATATTTCTTAAAATCAATAAGAAAAATACTGTTGTCCAAATAAAAGAAAAAAACCCTATAAGGATCAAAAACAGTTCACAGTAAACAGTCAATAAAGAAAAAAACTTGCTCAAACTAGTCGTCTAGGAAATTACAGTTAAAATAACCACAAGATACCACTTATCAAATTAGCAAACAGTAAACATTAAAAATTCTAGTGAAAGGCTAACCTACACACTGTAGGTATGAATTTAAATTCCAACCTTTCAGAAGAGTAATTTGAAAAACTACCACAATCCTTTAAGATTGCTGTTTGGGTCTCATTTTTTTTTTCAGCTTTAATTGAGTTTATTGGTACATTTTAGGGATATAGTACAGTTACATTCATTGTTGGGATCTTGTACCTCTACATGACAAGTCTTGATTCTCATTTTTTCCCCTTACCTGCTGTTTGATCTAGTACACCAGAATTATTTCCAGGATCCTATTCCAAATACATAGTCAGAAATACAGACAAAAATTTATATACAAAGATGTTCAGTGAAGCAACAGCCACAATTTCTTTTTTTTTGTACCAGGGATCAAACTCAGAACCTTGAGTTTGCAAGACAGGCGGTAGTATCATTGAGTTAAATCTCCAGCCCAACATCCACTATTTTATTTTTATTTTTTTTAATCCATTATTTTAAATTGCAAAAAACCTAAATATCTAGCAGTAAGAAAATAGGCATAATTTAAGCATACTGATGTAATAGAAATGTTGCAATTATTACAAATCATGCTTTCTGAGCATATTTAAGCAAATGGGAAAATGTCCATTTTCCACTTTTAAGTGGGATAAAACCATGTATGAACATCAATGTATAAACATACACAGAGGATGAACTCCAAGTTCACTTATTTAACACATATATATGAATATAAATATGGGATGAGAAAATGGAAAGAAATACAACACAAAAAAAGTTTCACAATATTTATTTTTGTGATGGAATTAGGAAATATTCTGTTCAGATATTTATGAAATTAAACTGTCATTGCATATTATTTTCACAACTACAAAATAAAGCTCTAGGATAAAATAGAGATTCCTTTAGCACAATATTTAAGGCCCATTATATTTTGATAAACTACTTTGCCAACTGTAACAAAATGGGCTCTGGTACCATAACTATGGTCCCTTACATATAAATTCTTTTACTTATCCCTTTGCCTAAATTCTACTTCGATCCCTTCTCTTTCATCAAGATCCCAATTCTATCATTCATAATGTATATAAATCACTACATTGCATACTTTGAATATATAGGTTTCATTCATAAATTATTCCTCAGTAAGGTTGATGGTGTGTACTGAATTCTCCTAAGGAAAGTTAGTCCAGATAAGATCCAGACCCTATAGCATTTTATATCTATTATGTGTGTCACATACTTATGTCTCTGCCACTTTATATAATTAGTTGTGTTAGTTATTTATGCCTTCTGGTATTCTATGAGACCATTTCAAAAGCAGGGCTAACCCACATCTTACTGATCTTGCGTAACTTTAAATATAAGAATACCTAGCAGAATGAACAAAAAACACTATAAACATTTTATGTAACTATTAAAATTGCTAATCAACTCATCTGTAATAAAATTACAATGACTCTCTGAAGTGATCTCTCTCCTCTCAATTACCTTCCCGTTTGACTATGGTTATTTCTAGCTTCAGAGGCATCAGCAGCGTTTTATAACTAAAGGAAGGATAAAATTGAGACTTCTTTGCAAAGCACAAAACATTCTCCAGAATATACCACTGTCTACCCCTCTGGCTTTGTCTCTAACTACAATCCCTATAACTTCTACAGTTAAATCAAGTCACTTTCCCTTTCCAAAACCATATTGTTTCTTCCCTCTCCTTGCTGTTCCATCATCCTGCAAGAAGTATCTCACATGACTCTTCTTCCAAAAATTATTTACATAATTCTTCAAGTAGATATCACTACCTCTTTTGTAGAAATTTCTCTGGACTGAATGATATATAAAGGAACACAGAATACAAATGTTTCCATACTATAATTAAATAATCTAAGGGTATAAGTAATATTATAAATTTATACTACCTAATAGTATATGTGAAGTTATAAACATGAAGTAAAAGAATAAATAAGACTTTAAATCTCATTCTTGTATTTAATTCATTTTTCTACAATAACCCCAATGCCTATTATGTCCTGTATTTGTGTAAGGAACTGATAATTCGAAGGTGAATATAAAGTTTTTCTAGCTTTGAGTTCAAAACTAAGTAATAATGACACACAGTAATGAGAAAATATGAATGGTGATATAAAGGAAGATTTCAAGGTACAAGAAAAAGATACAATGGAGAAAGTACCAAGTGAGTGACCAAGAAGTACCTCAGAGAGGGAATAACTTGAGCTACAAAAGAGTATTCTTGGCAGAAAGCAGGATGTGAAAAAGGGCCAAGGTAGAAAGCATCACAAAACAGATGTCCGTAAAATCCACAAGTGATCAAGATGAAGAATGCAAGGAAAGGTTCCTTGAGAGCACACAGGACCACACCTAACGCTGTTGAACTTTACCTTGCAGGCCTGGTACTTTTCTCAGAATCCTCAGGTTCCTGACATACAGGTTCCTGGGTAAGCTATCAGACATCATTCCTGGGAATGTACCAGAATCTGTCTAATCATCAGTACACACGTGACTACATGAAGTAAAATTTCAGAACTACTATCCAAAGCTTTTACTGAGAGGCGAAACAGACCAAAGGTAGTTATATAAACAGCCACTGGCAATTTGCTTGAAAAGGAATGAGACCAAAGTCATGAATATGAAATGAAGGCAAAAGAAGCCATCCAGATGAGGGAAGATAAAGTATGCAATAGCTCTAGGAATGTAAATGATGGGATGGAATGTAGAATGTGTATATTACTCTTGTTTTTCTCAGAGCACAGTGCTTTATGACTGCTTTTTCAAACAATAAATAAAGTCAGATAAAACAGTTAATGCTTTGTACCCACCAATACTAATTTGAATAAATGTACATACAACCATATATAATAAACATATTATATGAAAGATAACTTCACATTATTGATAAGAGAATTATTAATAATGATAGCTAATATGTACTGAGCCCAGGCACTATCGTATTACACTAGGGTATTAGGGTTGGCTATGTCAGATCAAAAAGTAAAATACCTGTTATATCAGTATTAAGTAGACAGAATTAACCCTAAGTGAGAAGGGCAGATAACAGTATTAAACAAAGCAAAGAGTGCTCCACAGTACTTTAATAAATACTGTCATTCCAGAAAAGATCAAAATACTTCTAGGAAAAACAGATCATACTGACCAAAGAGTATAAAATCTTAAACCTTTTGTAAAGAAATTTTTGAAGCATCAAGAGTTACTTGAGGAAAAAAAATAAAAGGCAAGAATGAAGACACAAAGATTTTTAAGCTTTCTCATCTGATGTCAGCCGCACACTTGCCCCTGGCAGCACCCCAATCTTCCCAACTTTCTGTCTCTTTCTGGTGGGGTTCCAGCAGACAGCCATGTGCTTGGACAAATAAAAGGTTATCTAGTGTCTGGAAACATGATATCTGGGTGTGATTGTGTGTAACTCCTCATCACATCTTCTCAGGGCTACAGATTGTGTCACTGTGGCAAAAACTGTAGCAAACAGCAATACACAGAGAAAGAGTTTAATAAGTGAAAACAGAAAACTACACCAAAAT